TCACAAAGATTCTTATTTGAATTAATCTACCGATTGTACAAATGGGAGGGGGGGGGGGGGTTAGGTTTCTGATATAGAAAAAGTGATTAAAAATAAAAGTGATTAAAAATATAAGTGATTATAAGATAAGTTAATCTGCTGTTCGTTCTCCCACTTATCATTGATCATACAATTCTCAAGCCCTAAACGGATTCCATTCCCATTCGATTACAGTTACAATTAACAAGCGTGTTTGCGTTATCGGCCCCTAAAGGACTAAAATTTATGAAACTTACAAAACCTTATTTTCTTAGGTTGCTCTAAAGGTGGCATTTTTAGTCCTTTAGGGGCTATCATTTGGCCATCAAAAACTAATATGTCAAATATCTCGTCACACTTCTTTACATCGAAAGAATACATTTTGGCAACGAACTTACCATTTTTTGGTTTGATCGGGTTATTTTCGTCGGATGGTTTCACTGGCTTAAGTTCAACCATATTTATTTCGTTCTCTTCGAGCCCCTCATATCCTAAGTCATAATCCTGGTCTCTCTCATCTGCCTCTATGTAGGCAACTTTCTCCTTTTATGGATCTTGCTCGTTTTGGCTTTCTCAGCCTTCAGGCGTTTGACATGTCGAACTGTGTCGGCCAACTGAGCCATATCTCTCAAATATTGAGTATTTGGTTTCTTTCTAATAGAATAATCTAGACCCCCACCAACCATTTCGAGTAACTCATGCTCAGGCACTCGAGTAAATCACCATACCTTCAATAATCTAAACCTATTTAGGTAATAATCAATCGACTCGGGCGCCTTTCGCCTCACACTAGTCAATTCTTTGAGACAAATTTTTGACTGCACCATATATAAATCCTCATGGAATACCCTCTCTAACTGATTCCAATAATTTGTGGAATAAGGAGGGAGTGTCATGAACCATGTAAGAGCATTTTTTGTTAGAGAATTCGGGAAGAACCTCATTTTCAAATTCTCATTGTTTGCTATATCGCCTGCTTCAGTTTGGTATCGAGCAATATGTTCGACAGTCGACTTACTTATGTCTTCTACAAACTTGGTGAATTTAGGGACTTTCCACCCCTAAGAAGTTTAGTTTGCAGAACATATTCAGTCAAGGGGGACACAAAATTATTAAGGCCATTTTGAGCAAGGATATTTTCGACTATGTGGGATATATTATTCTGGCCCCTCAGGTTATCTTGTCGAACGCTCCTTACTACTTACTCATCATCTTAGTACCTGCGCATCATGACTACCCCTGGGTTGGACTGGTTATTCATTCTCCTCCTCTCATAACTATAGGGGGTCCGAGCAGTTGAGATATCTCTTGTTGTTATTGCCCTTGATTAAGAGGAACGCCTTCATTGTCAGGCATCCCAATTGGCCTAACTAGCACAATTTGAGGGATAATTGTGCCTGGGCTTGAAGAACGCTAAAAAAATAGGCAATTCGACCCATTTGATTGGCCAACAACTGGTAAAACTAGTTAGTGTTCTTAATTAGGGGATTAAACACCGAAGCAATTTGCTAAGTAAGCATATTAATCATCTCGTGGTTACTTTCATTCATTTGTTGTCTTATGGAAAACATGGGGTTTATCGTAAGAGCAGACATGTTTGGGGGAACAAATAGAGTCCCTCCATGTTGTGTTGCTCGACTCGGGTGACTAATAGACCCTGACGTCGTGTATGGATTCAAAGGGGATGTTATTGTTACATTATTATCTGTGAATGTCGAAATGTTGCTTTGTAATCTTGCCATCATTTTAGTGGCATATCATATGGAAAATCTCTCGACACCTATGGCATAGTGAAACTTGATACATAAGAACGTCTAGAGTCGACTAGAGGAACACTTATCGGCTTGGGAGTAATTTGAGTACTGTCTCAGACAAATTTGTGCCAAGTCTTAGGATAAATTTGTGCTAAGTTTTTAAGACATCAATTCATTTGCCGTTATTGTAAATACAACCCATTAAATGTGTGGGGTTAAAAAGATATAACCTTATATTTTTGAGATAATATTAAGCTACTTTGAGTTACATTATTTTATTAGAAATTATATACATTAAATTAAACTAAAAATTATTAAATTTATTAAATCAACATTAAATACATTGTTAACCTATCTATAACAATGGTATATCACAGATATAATTTAATAAGGATGAGTCAAACTATTAAAAAATTAGATGGCATGCTAATAAATGACAAAAAAGTTTAGGCTGTAATTGTTCTATAGTTTAAAAATTTTAAAAATAGATATTTAATCTTCTTTAAATACTCACTCACGATCCATTTAGATTTTTTATTTGTTTTGTTTATCCTAAATTGGAATGTATATCAATTTTTCAAATTTTTATCACAACTTTATTTATATCCTAAATTGGAATGATCCTATCTTTATTTATATCAAATTTTTATCACAACTTTATTTGATAACAAGGTTAGTCTTTACCAGACTCTTTTTCTAAATTTAATTTGTACTATATAGATCATAACTTCACACCAATATTTATATTTTTAAGTTGACCATAAAATAATTCATTATAATTTCTAATACTTAGTAATATAAATAATTATTTAATTTATTTTATATAAATATTATAATGGATAACACTTGCCAGATTCATATAATTAAAATTTCTTCATTTTTATTATAAAAATTTAAAAAACATGTAAAAATATTTTAAATATATATATATATATATATATATATATATATATATATATATATATATATATATATATATATATATATATATATATATATATATATATATATATATATATATATATATATATATATATATATATATATATATATATAGTCATGAATTAAATATACCTTTGGAATCAAAAGACAAAAAGAGAAAATTTTAATTAAAAATAAATTTGGTAAAAGACTATTTATTTATTTTAATTTATAATTAACTACAAAATATTCAATATTTTAAACATTTAATATTCTAAATATTTTTAAAAATATATGTTTATAGTAATGTAATAATTTAAAAAAGTCTTTTACCTATTAATATTTTTATTTTAAATATTTTTATTTTAAATGTTACTAAACTTTAAAGGAAAATAAAAATGGTTCTAATAGAACTTGTGATCAACCCCTCTCTTTTTTATTTTATTTTTTTATTTTAAATTTTAATTTTTTTAAAAACATTCTTAGAATTTTAGACTCTTATCTCTAATATTTATATTTAATTTTACATTAGAATTTTCTATAAACTTAATGTATATTAACTAATTGGTCCTAATACTTAAAGTAGTAATACCTATCAAATTTCCAATTCAACAAATAAACAAAATAATTTTTTTGGGTGAAGATGGTTATAAATCGAAAGATGTTTTCTTTTTATATGTAGAAGAATTGTTCTCTCCCTCTCATATCTTGTTGCTCTTTGCATTTGATTTCCATGTGTTGTTTGTTAGTGATCATGCAGAAGAAACTAAAATTAAATTGCAATTGCAAAGATTACATGATCGAGCTATTTTGTGAGAGAAAACTTTACATGATTTGGATTCCAACCACTTAAAAGATACTAGATGGTGTTATTTTGTTTTTATTTTATTTTTATTTATTTGGGATTAATTATTTTTGAGCTATAGTGTAATTAAAGATAAATTAATGAGGGAAAAAAAACAAGCAAGATGAAGATTTTGTTTATATTTTTAAATTTTATTTCTAGATAAAAATACTATCAAATTTTCAATGGTTTATTATTTCAATTTTATTAAATTTGCTGGACGAAATTGGCAACGATTTATTTTTATTTTTTTGATAAAAAAAATTTAGATGATTTGAATTAGAATGACTCATGTTAAATTAAAAAAGTCTCATGATTCAAGATGGTTTTCGACTCTATAAAAAAACTATTGTAAAAGAACTTTATTAGTGTTTTTGGTGATATCATTTAATAAAAAGTTCTATTTTTATTAATGTTTGCATTGTATATTAAAGTTAGTATCTCAATAAAAATATTTTTATCTAAAATAAATTATATTTTTTAAGCAATGATTCAATGATAATAGTATTAATGGTACTCTTACCCAATTCAAATAGTTGAAAAAAATAAACTGATCAATGACATATACAATAGTATCAAGATTCCCTTCTCACCCTCTTACTTCTCCTAACTTATCGTCTCTAACTGTATCCATCCCTTTCATCTTCTTCCTCCTATCAACATTTCTCCCCCCATCATAGCGCTACCTTGTCCTTTCGCACTGGATTTTTCGTCAAGATTTTCTGGTGGTTCCGTACTATGTGGTGAATCCATTAATGATTCAGATATAAATCAGGTTAATTCTCGTTTGAGGCAAAACATGGCTGACGTTCCTTCAAAGATTTGGCACTCAATTAAGGAACTAGGCATCGAGGGTGACGAAGACGACGAAGTTTTCGAAGGTATTATCTGAGACATGGAAAGCAGAGACAAAAGAGCTTTTAACAAAGTGAGGGAGAAAGCTATCTTTATCCCGTGAATGTGTTAACCTATAACATTTGTGGGTGTGAGAATTCTTTCAAAAGAAATAGAATTAAAAAGCTTCTTATCTCTGCTAACATCGACATCTGCTTCATCCAAGAATCTAAAAAGGAATCAATGGACGACAAACTGGTTTCTTCCCTCTGGTGTGATAAGAATTTTAATTGGCTAGCTTCTAATTCCGTTGGTTTATCTGGTGGTATACTTACAATATGGAAGAATGACATCCTCTGCCTTATCTCAAGCTTTAGAGGTAAGGGATTCTTGGGGATTAATGCTACATGGATGGCCTCAACTATTATTTTATCAATGTTTACTCGCCCTGCAGTCTCCACGACAAAAGGATTCTTTGGTCTTCACTTTTATGCGTAAGATTTTCTACATCACCTGAGGAATGGCTTATTTGCTGAGACTTCAATGTAGTAAAAAAAAAAGGAAGAAAGACATGGTAAATGGGCGGGTTGTGCTGCTGAGATGATGATTTTTGCCCATTCATAGATGTTATGCGCTTGGTCGATCTTCCTGCTGTTGGCAATCATTTTACTTGGTTAAATAGCAGCAGATGTTGTCGTAGTAGATTAGACAGATTCCTATTGTCGGATAGTTTAATTGATAAATGGAGAATTAATGCTCAATATGTTAGGGATAAAGACGTCTCTGATCATAGGCCTGTATGGATCAAAGCTAGTCATGTTAGCTGGGGGCCCAACCATTCAAAGTCTTTAGCTGCTGGTACAAACATCCACAATTTCACGACTTCGTCAAGTCTGTTTGGGATTCTTCTGCTATTGGTGGTGATGCAGCAAATGTGTTGTCAGTAAAGTTAAGACTCCTTAGAACACGTCTCTGATGGTGGAATACGAATGTTTTTGGGTTGATTGACTTAAAAATTGAAGATGAGGTTTCTAAAGTTAATAAAATTGAAGATGGGGTAACTTGGTATGGGGAAGGTATCTCTGACAGTGACCTTAAAATGAAAGCTACTGCACAAGAAGCTTTTTGGAACTACTCTCTTGGGAAGGAAAGCATGATTATGCAAAAGGCGAGAACAAATTGGCTTCGTGAAGGTGATTTAAACACAAAATAATTTTACTCTCTGTTGAAATCTAGAACCAGACGCAATGCTATCACTACTTTAAAATCCGGTAACGTTATCTTGGACGACGTCAACTCTATCAAATATGCTTTTAAGGAATAGTTTGCCAATATGTTCTCGAAGCCTGCATGCCTTGTCCTAGAATGAACTTTAGTGACCTGACCAAACTCTCTCCTGTTGAAAGTTCATATCTGGAGAAACCTTTTGGTGATGACGAGATTGTTCTGTTGTCTTCAATTGCGACGACAATAAAAGTCCAGGACCCGATGGCTTTAACTTTGATTTCTTAAAATCATGTTGGGATGTTGTGGGAACTGATGTCTCAAATTGTATCAGGGAGTTCCATTCCACTACTACTCTATCTAAATCTTTGATATCTTTCTTTATTTCTTTAGTTCCAAAGATCGATAATCGGCAGGGGCGTGACGACTTCAGGCTTATATGTCTTATTTCATCCCTAGTAGACATATCCTTGATGGTGTGGTTATTTCTAATTAAGTAATCGATTATGCAAAACAAAACAAATCAAGTTTCCTGCTATTCAAGATTGACTTTGCAAAGGCTTTCGACTGTGTTGATTGGAACTTTTTGCAACAAGTTCTTCAAGCTATGGGGTTTGGATCAACTTAGATATGTTTGATATTAGGAGGAATATTCAACAGTCATATGTCCATATTAATCAATGGCAGAACGAATCGTGATTTCAAGGTTTCTAGGGGCTTGCGACAAGAGGACCCTTTATCCCCCTTCTTGTTCTCTTTAGTCGCGGAATGACTTGCATCTTTGGTAAAAAAAGGCTTCCTCATTGGGCATTTTCAAGGGATTTGGTTTCAATGGTAATGTTACCGTTAACTTGCTGCAATTTTCCAACGATACTATTTTGGTTTGTGACGGATCCTTGTCAAACTTGTAGGGTATCAAGGCAGTTCTTTATGGTTTCGAATTGGTTTCTAGCCTGCAAATCAATTCCCACAAAAGTTATATGAAGTTCATGCGACTGATTCCTTCATGGTGGCAGCTGCAAATTTTCTGGTCTGTAAGAAGGAAAACATCCCTTTCAAATTCCTTGGTCACACTATTGGTGGAAATCACAGATGCATCTCGCTTTGGCAACCGATTATCTCTTCCTTCAAAAAATGACTATCATCTTGGAAAGGGAGGTTGCTCTCTATTGGGGATAGGGTTTCTCTAATCAACTCGATACTGACGAACTTACCTATTCACTACTTATCCTTCTTCAAAGCACCGACTAAAATCATTCAACAGAATATCTCTATCCAAAGAAAGTTTCTTTGGTCCAGTCGTGCCGAATCCAATGGTATTTCTTAGATTAGTTGGAATTCTCGCTGCAAACCTAAAGAGTATGAGGGCCTAGGCATCAAGCATGTGGGCCTCTTTAATAAATCCCTTCTATCCAAATGGCTATGGAGATGCACTAACGATCATGGTGCTTCTTGGCATGGCATTTTGGAAGCTCGTTATGGTAACATCCGCCATATTATTTTACTTAATGTAGTTACGAGAAATTCGTGTCTTGAATCCTTATGGTGGAAAGAATTATTGCTCAATGCTTTCCCATTGGAAATTGGTGGACTTTTTCGTAACTTACACTGCAGGTTGGGAGACGGAAGGGATACTTCCTTTTGGTATTCAATTTGGATCGGCAGCAACCAACTGCTGTAGAATTTTCCTGGCCTATTTGCTGCCCAGCCAATAAACTTGTCACGGTTGTAGACATGGGTAGATGGTCTGGTGCAATTTTGTGCTGGGACCTTGGTAATTCGTTAGGTGGGATACATGATGTGGATATTGTTTTGAATAGTGAGCTTGCAGGCCTATATTCACTACTCTCTGAAGCTCAACCCGCTGCAGGTGTTATTGATGCCTCCGTCTGGCCCTTAACTATCGACAAACGCTTCTCGATGCTCTCGTTTTACAATTCCCTACAGAAAGTATCTGGCCTACCTATTTTGGAAGAAAAACTTAGGTTATCTCTCTCTTTATTATGGCAAGTTATCATTCCTTTGAAGGTAAAAATATTTGGTTGGAGAGTTTTACTTGATAGACTAGCTACATGTTTAAACCTCTCTTTTAGAAATATCATTTCTAATTGTCATGATTTAGTTTGTGTGTTCTGCTTCCACGCCATTGAAGATTCTCACCACTTATTCCTTTTATGTCCGAGAATCAAACTTGTTTGGGAGAGAATTGGATCTAGGTTGGGGATTGTTAGTTCTGCCGATGCAAATTGCGTAGAGCACCTTCTAGCTTGGTTCCTCTGTCTATCTTTTTCCTGTTCTAACGGGTTTGCTTGCTCATTTTGGTTCATATCTTATTAGTGCATCTGGTGGATTCATAATCAAATCATTTTTGACAATGTCGTCGAGAATCTGGTTGCCTTATTCGATAAAATCACTCTTGTCTCATGGCGTTGGTTGACTTTTGGTAACGAAGCTAAAAGTAGATGTTCGTTCTATGATTGGTTAAAATGCCCACTAGATTGCTTGTAACATTATTTTCTGTACATTTTGTTAAATCACCCTTGTGTACCTTTGGGTTTTGGCACCCCTAGTGCCTCATTTATGAATTGCCCTTGCTTATAAAAAAAAATTCTTAACCACTTGGCAATGAAAGAGTAAGTGATCCAAACTTTCCTCTTCTTGAAAACAAAAAACATAGGAAAATTCCAGAATATAATTGATAATACCTCTCTGCCTCAATTTATCTTTGTTAGGGATCCTGCTTAGAAATATCCTTCATCCAAAAGCTTTTCTTTGAAAGGAACATGAACTTTCCAAAGTCTTTCAAAAGCTTCGTCAATACCCTTTTCTTGGTATTCTAATAATGTGTTAGAAGATATCAAAACATAACAAGATTTGACATTGTATGCTACCATGTTATCCATTTTCCTAAAACTAATTCATCAATATTTCTATTTGGCATTTTCTCTGGCAAAACTAGTAACATACACTGCAAATCCGACAAAAAATGGTTGTCGAAGACACCTGTAATACATAAATCTCCCCACTTCCATTTGCTTACTACTGATCTGGAATAGAACTGGAAAAACAGATTTCGAGCTACTACCGCCACACCAATTTCCCTTTCATATAGGAATATCACTCCCAAATCCGAGAGTGAATTGGAAGTTTTCAGCGAGATTAAAAACGGGCATGTCACCCGTTTTGTCCAATGACATAATGTCTTTCCACCATGATAATTCGGCTCTTGTAGAATTACCACTAACTTTTGACTGAACTTGACGAGTAAGATTCTCGTATCTATCTCGTAAAATATACACCCAAATTGTTCCTTTGTTTTCCACCAACATCCTCCATCTCCATTTGTAAAGCAAGGCATAATTAAAATCTTCTATGTTTTTTACCCCTAGACCCCCTTTGTTGCTAGGTCTACAAACACGTTTCCAACTAACCCAGTGAATTTTCCTTTTTTCTTCTAAACTACCCCACAAAAAACTTTGTTGAATTTTCTCAATATCTCTCCATTCTTCAAAGGAACCTTATAGAAAGATAAGATAAATATGGAAAGGCTACAAAAAAATAGAATTAAAAGAGTTATTCTACCTCCCATAAATAATAATCCACCTTCCCACTTTGCCACTCTAGAACTCAACTTATCCAATAAAGGAATCTACATCTTGATTCTCCTTGGGTTTAAGCCAATGGGAATCCCAAGGAAGGTGAAAACTTTATCTTCAATCCTGCAAGATAAAAAGTTGGCGGCAGCAGATAGAAAATGAGGAAAAATGTTAATCCCCGCGATTCTACTTTTGTGAAAGTTAACTACTAAACCAGAGACCAGTTCAAACCCTCTTAAAATATACATTTTTCTAACTCCCTTCTCCTATGAGTAAAGTGTCATTAACGAATTGGAGAATATCAACATTAATAATTTCATGAGCTTCGAAACCTCTGAATTCTCTAAAGCTTTCTTAACCAACCCTATTAAACCTTCAACTATTATGACAAAGAGGAAAGGCGATAAAGGGTCACCTTGCTTCAAACCCCTGACAACCTCAAAGTCAATAGTTGGAATCCCATTAACCAATTCACTTTATCGTATTCCTTCTAAAAGTTGACCTTGAAAAGAAAACAATCCTTCTTAGATCTTGTGGCTGCATCCACTACCTTATTGGCTACTACGACTTTGTCCAATAGGTATCTTCCTATAACAAAAGTAGTTTAGCAATTAGATATCAGAGAATGCAAGACTCTTTTCAACCGGAAACAACTAATTAACATATGAGATTGTAATCATCAAGACCTTGAGGACTAGATAACTTTGGAATTAAAGTTAAAAAAGAGGAAGTGGTGAATTTTGACAGTTTTATGAATCTATATGATTGTAAGTACTAAAAGATCAACCTCTAGAGTTTTGATGACAACAATGCATGGCAATAGCCTTCAACCTTGATAAGCACCATGAGCAAAATGACAAAAGACTAAGTTCCTATACAAATTACGAACTATCTAGCAAAGTCTTGAAGTTCCATGAAGAAAGGTGTGAAATCTCGCCAGATCGTGTCAGTCAGTATCTTTGAGTGGACCAAGTATTGTAAAAGTAAGAGAGTAACTTAAGAGTATTAAGACAAATAATACACACACTTAAAGAGATTTTCTAAATGATTAAAACATTATTCAAGAAACTTCTAATTGATTGGAAATATGTGCCAATCAGTTGGCAATATTTTGTAACCAGCCAATC